ACAAATCAGTAACAAAGCCAATTATAAAAATTTAGATGTCGTCCCCCCGCCCGCGTGCTGTACTTCAAGGTCTGTTGATTCCCTTTCACCCTGCTTCCGATCTATTACTCAATCCAATTACAATCCACTCTTGATAAAATCCCTTGTACCCCAGCTACGATGATTGACTTCAGTTCGTATTAAGACATTTAGCAATTTGTAAATCCGCAAGGGAAGTTTTCCTTTCTTCTTCCTGCATGAGGTTTTAATTTCCATCCACTGTTCCTTAGCCTCTTCATTATTGACAATACGAATGAACCAATAAAATTGACAATGTTGGACCACTCAATGGACAGCCCTACCGTCCTACTACAGTGATTGTGTTTCCTCTATCATTGCAGGAGTTCTTAAGTCTATTCCTCCCCCCCCTCCATCCACTGACACACCAGGGGTTCAAATTGCTCACCCAGCCCATCTCATTTCAGGACCACAGTGCTATCTAGCTTCATCTTCGCTTCTCCCCAAGCCCCCTTGTGCTTTCCAACGACTAAAGTTGGCAGACTGGGAAAGGTTATGGAAAGCAGACTTGAAAATTATGGCATGTTGTATGTACGCTGAAAGAAAACTACAGCGGTACCTCGGGTTACAGACGCTTTGGGTTACAGACTCTGCAAACCCAGAAATAGTATCTCAGGTTAAGAACTTTGCTTCAGGATGAGAACCGAAATCGTGCTCCGGCGGTGCAGTGGCGGCAGGAGGCCCCATTAGCTAAAGTGGTACCCCAGGTTAAGAACAGTTTCAGGTTAAGAACGGACCTCCAGAACGAATTAATCTCTTAACCCGAGTTACCACTGTATATGAAAATGATGTACCAGTGGCATTTGACTCCTAGGATGCAGGTGGCACTGTGGTCTAAACCACTGAGCCTCTTGGGCTTGCTGATTAGAAGGTCAGTGGTTCGAATCCCCGCGACGGGGTGAGCTCCCATTGCTCGGTCCCTGCTCCTGCCAACCTAGCAGTTCAAAAGCACGTCAAAGTGCAAGTAGATAAATAGGTACCGCTCTGGCAGGAAGGTAAATGGTGTTTCCGTGCGCTGCTCTGGTTCGCCAGAAGCGGCTTAGTCAGGCTGGCCACATGACCCGGAAGCTGTATGCCAGCTCCCTCGGCCAGTAAAGCGAGATGAGCGCCGCAACCCCACAGTCGGCCACGACTGGACCTAATGGTCAGGGGTCCCTTTACCTTACTGTATTTAAGGCAGCAGATAAAGGATTTGAACAGAAACATCGTGCAAGTAAGGATGGGAGGTCAATACACCATGGGAAGGTTGTACGGGAACTGAACTGAATTGGTTAAACTGTATGAAAATCAATAAAAATTTACGGGGGAGGAAGAGTGGTCAGACACTGGCATAAATCGCAGGAAGAAATTGACTGATGTCTCACATTTAACATGCCTTTAAGAGTCATCCTGAGCCCTTAACGCTAAACATCCAAGACTCTGGGGCATCGGAAGCTGCCTTATCAGCCCTGCTGCGTCAAAAGATTGCAGGGTCTTTGGGGAAGGCCAAGAGCTCACTGGGAGAACACCTGCTCTGCCTGCAGAAGGTCGCAGATTCAAACCCAGCTGCTTTCGGGGTCAGCAGCAGAGGGTGTTCAAGCTGGGCATCTGCCAGGGCCCCACAGCCAGCAGAAGACCCATGGATCCTAACTGTGTACTGTTCTGGTTGCCTCGCCTCAAAAAGGATATTGTACTTTTGGGAATCTCCCAGTAGTGATGTATGGAAGTGAGAGCTGGACCATAAAGAAGGCTGATTGCCAAAGAATGGATGCTTTAGTATTATGGTGGTGGAGGAGACTCTGGAGAGTCCCATGGACTGCAAGAAGATCAAACCTCTCCATTCTGAAGGAAATCAGCCCTGAGTGCTCCCTGGAAGGAAAGATCCTGAAGCTGAGGCTCCAATACTTTGGCCACATCATGAGAAGAGAAGACTCCCTGGGAAAGACCCTGATGTTGGGAAAGATGGAGGGCACAAGGAGAAGGGGATGACAGAGGATGAGATGGTGGGACAGTGTTGTCAAAACTACCAGCATGAGTTTGACCAAAGTGCGGGAGGCAGTGGAAGACAGGAGGGCCTGGCGTGCTCTGGTCCATGGGGTCACGAAGAGTCGGACATGACTAAACGACTAAACAACAACACTTTTGGGAATGGTTCCAAAAAGGGCAACCGAAATTAGCAAAGGCCTGGAGAAGAGAAGATTTAGAGATGATGTGATGGCTGTTGTTAGCTGCTCTGAGCCCGGCTTTGGCCAGGGAGGGCGGGATACAAATAACATTATTATTATTATTATTATTATTAGTCTCCTTCAAATATCTGAAGGGCTGTGATCACATGGAAGAGGCTTGTTTTCTGCTACTCCAGAGTGTAGAATCATAGAATCATAGAGTTGGAAGAGACCACAAGGGCCATCGAGTCCAACCCCCTGCCAAGCAGGAAACACCATCAGAGCACTCCTGACATACGGTTGTCAAGCCTCTGCTTAAAGACCTCCAAAGAAGGAGACTCCACCACACTCCTTGGCAGCAAATTCCACTGTCGAACAGCTCTTACTGTCAGGAAGTTCTTCCTAATGTTTAGGTGGAATCTTCTTTCTTGTAGTTTGGATCCATTGCTCTGTGTCCGCTTCTCTGGAGCAGCAGAAAACAACCTTTCTCCCTCCTCTATATGACATCCTTTTATATATTTGAACATGGCTATCATATCACCCCTTAACCTCCTCTTCTCCAGGCTAAACATGCCCAGCTCCCTTAGCCGTTCCTCATAAGGCATCGTTTCCAGGCCTTTGACCATTTTGGTTGCCCTCCTCTGGACACGTTCCAGTTTGTCAGTGTCCTTCTTGAACTGTGGTGCCCAGAACTGTTCCTTTCCACTGTATAGTAAACTTCAGAAGAGCATGATCACTCGCGCCTAATGATCCTTCCACTTCTACCCCACTAACCAGGTCATCAACATTGGTTAGGACCAGATCTAAAATGGCTGTTCCTCTTGTTGCTTCTCCCACTTTCTGGACAATGAAGTTGTCTGCAAGGCCAGTGAGGAATCTGTTTGACCTTATGCTCTTGGCTGAGTTTGACATCCAACAAATATCCGGGTAATTGAAGTCCCCCATTACTACTATCTCCCTTCCTTTTGCATGCTTGGCCATCTGTTCCAGGAAGGCATCATCTATGTCCTCCGTTTAGCTTGGGGATCTATAGTAAACTCCCACAATGAGGTCTCTGTTATTCTTCTCTCCCTTAATTTTGACCCAAATGCTCTCACTTTGGCTTTGAGGTTCTAAATCTTGGATCTCTTCACAGGTATACACATCCCTGACATATAATGCCACTCCTCCTCCTTTCTTGTCTGGTCTGTTTCTCTGAAATAGATTGTATCCCTCCATTATTACATTCCAATCGTGGGACTTATCCCACCAGGTTTCAGTGATGCCTATTATGTCATATTTAGTTTGCTGTACCAAGAGCTCAAGCTCATCTTGTTTATTTCCCATGCTTTGCGCATTAGTGTACAGACATTGAAGTCCATTAATCATTCCCCCGTGTCTCTTATTTAAGGATTTTTTCCTCCCACCACTAGGTCTGCGTGCTGTTTGCTCCATTTGGTCTATGACATTTGGATGATCATCTTCATCAATTGATAGCCTCCTACCTTCAGGAGCACTGTCTCCCTCCCCCACATTAGTCAGTTTAAAGCCCTCCTGATGAGGTGTAGGACCTGAACTAATGGATTCAAATGACAAGAAAGGAGATTCCAGCTAAACATCAGTCCGTAGAGCATGAGACTCTGCATGTCAGGGTCATGGGTTCAAATCCCATGTTGGGGAAAAAGATTCCTGCATTGCAGGGGGTTGGACTAGATGCCCCTCGTGGTCCCCTCCAGCTCTACAATTCTATGATCAGGAAGAACTTTCTGACAGTATTAGCTGTTCGGCAGTGGAACAGACTCCCTCGATAGTGTCTCTGAAAATTTTTACACATCGCTTAGGAAGAGAGGCAAACTAATGCCAGTGTACTGGAAGAAGCAAAGATCACCAGTGTTGAAGCATTGATTCTTCAACATCAGCTTCGTTGGACGGCTCATGTTGTGCGGATGCCTGATGATTGTCTTCCAAAGCAACTACAGTGGTACCTCGGGTTACAGACGCTTCAGGTTACAGACTCCACTAACCGAGAAATAGTACCTCGGGTTAAGAACTTTGCTTCAGGATGAGAACAGAAATCATGCTCCAGCAGTGCAGCGGCAGCAGGAGGTCCCATTACCTAAAGTGGTGCTTCAGGTTAAGAACGGACCTCCGGAATGAATTAAGTTCTTAACCCGAAGTACCACTGAACTCTATTCTGAACTTAAAAATGGAAAGCTTAATGTTGGTGGTCAACAAAAGAGGTTTAAAGACTCTCAAGGCAAATCTTAAAAAAGGTGGTATAAGCACTGATAACTGGGAAACACTGGCCTGCGAGCGCTCCAGTTGGAGAACAGCCTTTACCAAAGGTGTCATGGGCTTTGAAAACACTTGAACTCAGGACGCAAGGGAGAAACGTGCTAAGAGGAAGGCACACTTGGCAAATCCACACCGTGATCATCTCCTGCCTGGAAACCAATGTCCCCACTGTGGAAGGACGTGTGGATCCAGAATTGGCCTCCACAGTCACTTACGGACTCACTGCTAAGACCGTGTTCATGGAAGACAATTTTACTCGGCTACGAGGGATCGCCAAAGAAGAAGTTGAGATTCCTATATTGCAGGGGTTGGACTAGATGACCCTTGGGGTCCCTTCCAACACTACAGTGCTACAATTCTACAACTGTAAACCTCTTTAAGAGCCCCTTTCACTCTGATGCAGCCCCAGCCCCATGGCAGCTCACCCCGCACTTATTGACCAGCTCACAGGCTGGCTGCTTGTGCCCCGGGATTTTGGACTGCTCACCCGGGGGCGTCCCAGTCGCATCCTCCCTTCCCACTCACCGTGAAAGGCAGGGAGCACACAGCGAAGGTGATGGTGATGATGGCGAGGAGGATGAGATGGTCCAGCTCCTCGAACATGGACAGCTGCTTCCTGGCCGCGCACCTGGGGCTGGGCGCCTGGCCGTCGGAGGACTCCGCCTGGCGGAGCTGGGAAGAGGAGGAGGACGAAGCGGCGGCGACTGCAGCTGCGGTCGCCCGTCGGGTGGCTTGGCCCCTCCGTTGCATGCGGAGCAGGTTGACGATGACGCTGAGGTTGCAGAGCAGCACGGCCAGGATGAGCAGCAGCAGCAGCGACGCGTAGAGGAGCGAGAAGGCGCCCCCCGACGACAGCTCCGCCGCGCCCCCGGCCCGCGGGAAGTGCATCTGGATGAAGCACCAGGTGCCCGGGCAGTACTGGACGTAGCGGCCGAAGCCGAGCAGCGGCAGGGAGCAGAAGGCGGCGGCCAGCGCGTAGAGGGCCGGCAGGGCGGCCAGCAGGAGCGGCGCGACGGGGCGGGCGCTCAGGAGGCGCTCGTAAAGGTAGGGCGCGCCGATGGCCAGGCTGCGCTCCAGCGCCATGGCGCCCAGGCATCCCATCGTGGCCAGGCTGAAGAAGCTCATGGCGAAGGCGAAGTAGAGGCACACGCCGCCGCCCTCGGACAACCCGCGCAGCGTCCGCCGGCGCCCGTAGGCTGCCAGCACCACCGGGCTCAGCAAACACGTGCCCAGCAGGTCCGTCAGCACCAGCGCCATCACCAACACGTGGAAAGGAGCCAGGCGCTCCCGGCGAGCCCGACGGCGAGCCCGCGCCCGCAGCAGCAGCCCCAGCGCCGTCACGTTGCCCAGCACACCGGCCGCGAACATGAGCGCCGCGCTGGCCGGGCTCTCGCCCGACGGCGGACGCAGCTCCAGCGCCGCCTCGCAGCTCGTGGTGTTCATCGGAGGGACTGCGCTCAGCGCGGTCCGTCAAGAGGGAAGGCAGGCGGGGGCGGGGAAGCCGGCGGGGGCGGGACCAGGCGACACCTCCCTCTCTCCCTCCCGGTTAGGGTGCTGGAGAGAGACCGGGTGCCCCGTCGGGGGCGGAGCGTCGGCCGGCCTTCCCAAACCTTCGCCAGCAGCCGAGCCCAGCGACGGCGTCCCCAAGGCGCACGAAGGAATCGACGGGGACCCGAGGACCTCGCCAGTCCCCGCCATCCGACGGCATCCCGAAGGCGCACGCCGGGGGGGGGGAGGGAATCGATGGGAAGCCAGAGGACTTCTCCAATTCCGCCCCCCACCACGTAGTCCCCAAGGCGCAGGGGGAATCGACGGGGACCCGTGCAGTGTGAAATCATCCGAGCCGTCTTGCTCCAGGGACGGGATCCCGTCCTCCCACCGCAGCCCCGGCTCCGCCCTCGACGGGGCGATGCGGCAGCCCCCGATCTCCGCGGCGTCCCTTGGCGCTACACGCGCGTGGGTCTCCTTCACGCGGGTCCGTTGGTAGATGCAAGCTGAAAACACGTGGCGGGGGACGCGGCCCCGTCAGCTCTGGGTGAGTGGAGAGGCGTGGAGATCTTTTCTCTCTGTTTCCTAAGACATCCCCCACTTTTCCTGCCTGGGGCTTCCGCGTCGGACCAGTTTCCAGGGTCTCTGAACACTCAGGGATGTAATGACGACGATGTCTCTGAGCATGTGTGGAGAGCGCTGCTGCTTCGCTCTTTCTCTGCGACTATTGGTGGAGGGTTTTCAGGCAAAATCCACAGTTCTCTTTTCACGTTGCCTCCAGAGTCAGACTGTCACTGTTTCGTGTGGGAGGGATTCAGGTACATATCCAAAATTTACTTTAGTGCAATTAAAGTAGATAAAAAGGGTTCTGCTACCACAGCCCTTCCTTGCTTGATTGCATAAAAGAAGTGGGTGATTTGGAGCATATAGGTAGCAATCACGATTTATTGTCTTGCACTTTTAAAGGATATTAAGGTAAAGGTAAGGTAAAGGGACCCCTGACCATTAGGTCCAGTCGTGGCCGACTCTGGGGTTACGGCGCTCATCTCGCTTTATTGGCCGAGGGAGCTGGCGTACAGCTTCCAGGTCATGTGGCCAGCATGACTAAGCCGCTTCTGGCAAACCAGAGCAGCACACAGAAACACCATTTACCTTCCCGCCAGAGCGGTACCTATTTATCTACTTGCACTTTGACGTGCTTTCGAACTGCTAGGTGGGCAGGAGCAGGGACTGAGCAACGGGAGCTCACCCCCTCACGGGGATTCGAACTGCCAACCTTCTGATTGGCAAGCCCTAGGCTCTGTGGTTTAACCCACAGCGCCACCCGCCCTTAAAGGATATTGCTGGACCTCAAACCCACATCTGCATAATTGAAAGGGAAAGTTTTGGAGTCCAGAAGAGGGAGCCGTTTTCTCAGCCCTTGATTAATTTTATGAGGGCTAAAGAACTGGTACTATTTTATTCTCATTGTCTTTGGGGGAAAGCTCTTCTTTTAAGCACCAACAAATAGCCGGCAGAATGAAACTCTGACGACATCTTGTAACCCAACATAAGATTTCTGACTTATCCTTCTCATGGTTTGATAAATTATTGCCAGAATGCTAAGCAAACATTGGCCCAACTCTCTAGACAACATCTTATAACGGAAGTAGCCACTCAAGAGCTCATAAAATCCACATTGTCTTATAAATGCCTCTTACACAAACATACCCTAGAATATAACAGAACTCAGTGGGAGGCCTTGCGTATGGCTACTAGAGAAAAGAATGAGCCTAGACTTTCAGATATTTCTGCCCATGTCCCAGCTGAGACGAAAGGGATCATTGGAGCCCAGATTTCAACTGATGACTGGACCAATTACAGTGGTACCTTGGTTTACGAACTTAATCCATTCCAGAAGTCCGTTCTTAAACCAAAGTGTTCTTAAACCAAGGCATGCTTTCCCATAGCAGTGGGGGACTCAACTTACAAATGGAACACACTCAACAGGAAGGGAAACATGTTCTTATTCCAAGGCAAAGTTCACAAACCAAAACACCTACTTTTGGGTTTGCAGCGATCTTAATCCAAGTTGTTCATAAACGAAGCTGTTCTTAAACCAAGGTACCACTGTATTATTTTCCTGAGCTTTGTGTAGGCTATGGAGTTTCTCTTATTTGGGATCCAACATGGTGGCACTGTGGTCTAACCACAGAGCCTAGGGCTTGCCAATCAGAAAGTTGGCAGTTCGAATCCCCGCGACGGGGTGAGCTCCCGTTGCTCGGTCCCTGCCCTTGCCAACCTAGCAGTTCGAAAGCACGTCAAAAGTGCAAGTAGATAAATAGGTACCGCTCCAGCGGGAAGGTAAATGGCGTTTCCGTGCGCTGCTCTGGTTCGCCAGAAGCGGCTTAGTCATGCTGGCCACATGACCCGGAAGCTGTCTGCGGACAAAACCAGCTCCCTTGGCCAGTAAAGCAAGATGAGCGCCGCAACCTCAGAGTCATCTGCGACTGGACCTAATGGTCAGGGGTCCCTTTACCTTTAACTTCACAGTCGGGTTGTGACTCTACAGCAGTGAGCAGAGGAGGAATGACCCCTGGGAGAAGCACAGAGAGAAGAAACGTCTTGGTGCATCTGCAGCAACACAACTGGAAACCTTCTTCTGCCCCAGCTGCAACTAAACATGTCTCTCCAGTATCGGTCTCAACAGCCACAGCAGCCGGTGTAACCTTCCAACTGTTTGACTTCACCCCCAAAGGCACATCCTCCTCTATTTGTCTCCCGAGACTGACAGATGCCAACCAACAGCCTCACACCAAGTTAAATCACTGATAAATCAACCTAATAAGACTCCGAAGTCAACATTTCTTGCCCCCCAGAAATGTTTAAAACCTACTTCAACTGGTGGACTCCTGTCCTTGCTAAGCTGTTACACCGAGATCACTCTGATTGGCTCAGTTCCTCCAGGCTGGAAATTGTAGTACAGCAGACGCTCGGGTTGTGAACATGATCCGTTCGGGAGGCACGTTCACAAACCGCAGCGTTCACAACCCGCAGCACCGTGTCTGCGAACACGCGGGGCGCGATTCGGCGCTTCTGTGCATGCGCAAAGCGTGATTTAGTGTTTCTGCGCGAGTGCCAAAACCCGGAAGAAACCCGTTCCGGTACTTCCGGGTTCGGTGCGGTGCGCAACCCCAAAAAAGCGCAACCTGAAGCGTCTGTAACCCAAGGTATGACTGTATATTCTATTTTTTAAAAGGGTCGCAGAGGGCCTTCTCGGTAGTGGCACCCTCTCTGTGGAACGCCCTCCCACCAGATGTCAAAGAGAACAACAACTACCAGACTTTTAGAAGACATCTGAAGGCAGCCCTGTTTAGGGAAGCTTTTAATGTGTGATGTATTACAGTATTTTAATATTTTTTTGGAAGCCGCCCAGAGTGGCTGGGGAAGCCCAGCCAGATGGGCGGGGTATAAAAAATAAATTATTATTATTATTATTATTATTATTATTATTTCATTCCCAGAATCACAGACCAATCAGGTTGTTGGAGACCTCTTCTGTGTGAAGAGCAAGCTGGTTTTTGGAATTTTTGTTCCGCCGTTGATCATTGCTGGACTTTGTCCCAACTATTTGGGAAAACTATTGAAAACCATGTGAGGCTCTTTGCTGTGTCTGTTGACCTCGCATCATCAGCTGACCCCCAGTCCCGCTTGAAGATAGCCACAGCCTGGGAGTTCCCCTCCTACCTGGGCAAGTGGAAGGGGTCAAAGAACAGCAGCAATGTCCTGAGCTACAAAAAATAATGTCAACGAGTCTTAAAGACACCTTTTCCCTTCCTGCGGCAGACACACCCTCTAGAAAAACAAGTGATGATGCAAACCAGAAGTTTATTGGGACGGGCACCATCTGTTAGAGTTGCCACGTATTGTCACCTGAAGAATGACCATCTTCCCTCCAAAATAAAGTTTGCTCAGGGCTGCAACTGTCATCCCAGGGCTCAGTCTAAGAAAGGACCCATCAGCACACAAGCCTTGGCTTATTAAGAGACCACCTCTGTAAAAACATCACGCGGCTTTCCTTCTCCAGCTGTGAAGTGGTTCCTGGTTGGTGTCATGGTTAGAGTGCTGGGCTGGGACTTGGGAGATCTAGGTTCAAATCCCCCCTCCACAAACTTGGGCCAGCCAGTCCCCATTGCTCCGAGCCTGGCCCACCTTGCAGGGTGGGTGTGAGGATAAAATGGGAGGGAGGGGAAGAATAAAGTAAGCTTCCTTCAGCCCCTTGGAGAACAAGGGGGTTGTTGTTGTTTAGTCATTTAGTCGTGTCCGCCTCTTCGTGACCCCATGGACCAGAGCACGCCAGGCAATCCTGTCTTCCACTGCCTCCCGCACTTTGGTCAAAATCATGCTGGTAGCTTCGAGAACACTATCCAACCATCTCGTCCTCTGTCGTCCCCTTCTCCTTGCGCTCTCCATCTTTCCCAGCATCAGGGTCTTTTCCAGGGAGTCTTCTCTTCTCGTGAGGTGGCCAAAGTCTTGGAGCCTCAGCTTCACAATCTGTCCTTCCAGTGAGCACTCCAGGGCTGATTTCCCTTAGAATGGATAGGTTTGATCTTCTTGCAGTCCATGGGACTCCAACACCAGAATTCAAAAGCATCAATTCTTCGGCGATCAGCCTTCTTTATGGTCCAGCTCTCACTTCCATACATCACTACTGGGAAAACCATAGCTTTTACTATACGGACCTTTGTTGGCAAGGTGATGTCTCTGCTTTTTAAGATGCTGTCTAGGTTTGTCATTGCTTTTCTCCCAAGAAGCAGGCGTCTTTTAATTTCGTGGCTGCTGTCACCATCTGCAGTGATCATGGAAGCCAAGAAAGTAAAATCTCTCACTGCCTCCATTTCTTCCCCTTCTATTTGCCAGGAGCTGATGGGCCCAGTGGCCATGATCTTCTTTTTGTTGATGTTGAGCTTCAAACCATATTTTGCGCTCTCCTCTTTCACCCTCATTAAAAGGTTCTTTAATTCCTCCTCACTTTCTGCCATCAAGGTTGTGTCATCTGCATATCTGACACGGCCTTCTGAAAAGGAAGGCAAGTTGGGGCAAATGAAGATGGCATCATCTCAACCTCAGAGGGATCTGGGATGCCAACACTTGAGGGTACTATGTAGGTGTCCTGGAGTGGGTTTGGGGGCTGCAGTTTTGGAGGGGATGCACAGAGG